GCAGGAATGAGTTTTAGTTCAAGTGTATCTAGTAGAGACGCCAGTAAACAGTCGGAATTTTGGAAATCCCACTGAAAAGGGAGATTGAGCTTTGTTTAGAAATTTGCAAAACTCTGCTGTCTTGGTGGTAATTGAAGGTGTGGGTGTAACATGAGAGTTCTCAAAAAAGAAACTTAAAGTAAAAAAAGGGGGACATAGGATTATAACCTCAAGAAATAGGACCCCAAGAAATAGCAAGATACAAAGGCTGGGCAAAGATGGAGAAGTCATCTGAAAGAGTTTCAGAGGGTAGTTTAGAGATCTGTGACAATTTTGATGACAGTAACCTTGAAGAATCTAAGACAAAAAAATTAATGCTAGCTGCCCTTTATCATTTTTTTTTTTCTCTTCCACTTACCACAGGGATTGACATCAGTTTTGTATCACTGATTAGCAATCATATGCAATGGTATAACAATGAAAAACAGAAGTTATAGGAGCATCTCGCTACCAAATGTCAAGTCAACTCTGGGGATAAAAGACAACAGATTTTTTTTTTATCCCATCATTAATTCAAGAATCATTTTTACAGTATCTACTTTGTGCTTGGTACTGAGCTAAGTGTGGATGACGGAGAGGTGGATTGGTCCCTGCCCTCAATGAGGTTACCGTGGTTCCAGGACGTGTTATGCAAAACGAGCATCGCACATAATAAATGATGGTGTTCCAAGAGTCCCATGTGCCTCTCTCAAGGGGGCACAGAACGGGGAGTGTCACAAAATGAAAACATAGAGTATAGCAGAGGTAACACTGATTGGGGAATTCAGAACTGAGAAACAACTACGAGGCAAAATGGGTTTTATTTATTTATTTATTTAACTTTTGGCTGCGTAGGGTATTTGTTGCTGTGCGTGGGCTTTTCTTTAGATGCGTTTCGCGGGGGCTACTCTTTGTTGCGGTGCGCGGGCTTCTCATTGCGGTGGCTTCTCTTGTTGAGCACGGCCTCTAGGCGCGCGAGCTTCAGTAGTTGTGGCACACGGGCTCAGTAGTTGTGGCGCACGGACTTAGTTGCTCCGCGGCCTGTGGGATCTACCTGGACCAGGGCTCGAACCAGTGTCCCCTGCGCTGGCAGGCGGATCCTTAACCACTGTGCCACCAGGGAAGCCCAAAAATTGGGTTTTAATACAATATAGTCAAAGAAGTAAAACATAAGGTTTTGCTGTAAAGTGAAGAGAACACCAAAGCCGAGTTCTAGTCCTGCTAACCGCCTCTGCTAGGCAGCCTTCATCTTCCTGGGCACGGCTCTGTCCTCTAGGAACCTACAAGCAGGAACCTTAAGAGGCTTCTAAGAATGGCCCCCACCACAACCTTCATCCATTTGTTCCAGGTGCTTCCAATAGGTGATCTCTCAGAGGGCCTGAGCCAGGAGTAAGCAGCAGGAAGGAAGGAAGCGAACTGCCTCCCCAGGCTTCAGAGAAATTAGTTGTTGTGGGGCGAATTCCCGCTCAGTAGTTTTGTGGGTTTTGTTTTGTTTATTGCTTTTGACGGGATCAGATGGTTCATTTCCAAAGAGAGGCAGAAAGAATTATGTCCTATTTAAGAGCAAGAGTCTCGGATCTGCTTAAATTCTGGATTTGCCTCTTATCCCCTTGGTGACCTTCGGCAATTCATTCCACCTCTCTAAGCCTCGGTCTTTGTTACCTAAAATTTTGGGATAAAGATAGTACCTCACAGGGATGTGGTGGGGATTAAAGGATAATGTATACAAACCCCAGAGCACTGGACCGGGCACACAGTCGTTGGTCAAAAAAAAAAAAAAAGAAGGAATCCGTTGATCCAACAAATGCTAGCTATTGTTATTGATAACATCGAAGAGCAGTGGACGCACAAACAGCAGTCCCCTCCCTCCCGAATCTCCGCCAGGCAGAAAGCCAGCGTCCTAGAACTTAAAGGGACTTTCGATGGGTGGGACCCCGGAGTCCCTGGCGAGGGCGAAGGCGGTGAGAGCTGGGGTGGGCAGCTGTCCCCGGCAACCAGAAGGTCCCAGGGACCCCATCCCCGGCAGGGCTGGCACCCGGGCCGAGAGCCTGCTCTCGGCCCGTGGCGTCTCGAGGGGCCGGTTCTGAGGCGGGAGCGGGAGAGAGAGGGGAGGGGCGACCGGGGGAATGTCCCCGCCTCTCTCCCCGCTTCCATAAATCACCGCAGCCGCGGCGGCCGCCGGGCCGGGAAGTGCACGGAGTCGGAGCGCAGCGTGGTGGCACCAGACACCTCCCTTTTCCCCGTCGCTGGCTTTCTTTCTTTCAGTGTGCTTTTTTCTGTTTATTTGTTTTTGTTTTTTTAAACCTCCCCTTCTCCCGCCTCGCTCGGGTGGCTGCCCCAGCATAGCAGCCCGATCGCCGCTTCTCCGCGGGTGCAGCCGCCCGCCCTCGCCGCCGCCGTCGCCGCCTCGCTCGGCCGGGACCCGCGGGAAGCGAAAGCTCGGCGGCTCCGCCTGTCAGCCCCGCGGCCACAAACCCGGTGCGGACGCCGCAGCTCTTCCAGCCGTCCGCCGCACCGCGGGGGCCGCGCCGGCGCCGGGGTCCCGCGGACGGCTGGGGCGGCCGCTTCCTCTCCCGCCGCGGCCACCGGGGCCCGGAGATGGTGGCCGCCCGCGCTCCCGCGCCGTAGCTGGGCGCCCCCTAAGTTCGGGAGCCGCCGCGGCGCTGAGAGGCGGCTGCAGAAGGGCGAGAAAGTTTTGCCGGGCGCGCGGAGCGGGCCCTGGGCGCACCTCCCGGAGCTCCCTCCCCGCTTCCCGGCGCCTGGAGCCCGTCGGCCGGGAGTGGGGGTAGGCGGCATGGCCCGCGAGCCGGAGGAAGAGGAGGCGGCCGCCCTGGCCCGCGGGGGGCGGCCATGTGCCTCTCTCAAGGGGGCACAGAACGGGGAGTGTCACAAAATGAAAACATAGAGTATAGCAGAGGTAACACTGATTGGGGAATTCAGAACTGAGAAACAACTACGAGGCAAAATGGGTTTTATTTATTTATTTATTTAACTTTTGGCTGCGTAGGGTATTTGTTGCTGTGCGTGGGCTTTTCTTTAGATGCGTTTCGCGGGGGCTACTCTTTGTTGCGGTGCGCGGGCTTCTCATTGCGGTGGCTTCTCTTGTTGAGCACGGCCTCTAGGCGCGCGAGCTTCAGTAGTTGTGGCACACGGGCTCAGTAGTTGTGGCGCACGGACTTAGTTGCTCCGCGGCCTGTGGGATCTACCTGGACCAGGGCTCGAACCAGTGTCCCCTGCGCTGGCAGGCGGATCCTTAACCACTGTGCCACCAGGGAAGCCCAAAAATTGGGTTTTAATACAATATAGTCAAAGAAGTAAAACATAAGGTTTTGCTGTAAAGTGAAGAGAACACCAAAGCCGAGTTCTAGTCCTGCTAACCGCCTCTGCTAGGCAGCCTTCATCTTCCTGGGCACGGCTCTGTCCTCTAGGAACCTACAAGCAGGAACCTTAAGAGGCTTCTAAGAATGGCCCCCACCACAACCTTCATCCATTTGTTCCAGGTGCTTCCAATAGGTGATCTCTCAGAGGGCCTGAGCCAGGAGTAAGCAGCAGGAAGGAAGGAAGCGAACTGCCTCCCCAGGCTTCAGAGAAATTAGTTGTTGTGGGGCGAATTCCCGCTCAGTAGTTTTGTGGGTTTTGTTTTGTTTATTGCTTTTGACGGGATCAGATGGTTCATTTCCAAAGAGAGGCAGAAAGAATTATGTCCTATTTAAGAGCAAGAGTCTCGGATCTGCTTAAATTCTGGATTTGCCTCTTATCCCCTTGGTGACCTTCGGCAATTCATTCCACCTCTCTAAGCCTCGGTCTTTGTTACCTAAAATTTTGGGATAAAGATAGTACCTCACAGGGATGTGGTGGGGATTAAAGGATAATGTATACAAACCCCAGAGCACTGGACCGGGCACACAGTCGTTGGTCAAAAAAAAAAAAAAAGAAGGAATCCGTTGATCCAACAAATGCTAGCTATTGTTATTGATAACATCGAAGAGCAGTGGACGCACAAACAGCAGTCCCCTCCCTCCCGAATCTCCGCCAGGCAGAAAGCCAGCGTCCTAGAACTTAAAGGGACTTTCGATGGGTGGGACCCCGGAGTCCCTGGCGAGGGCGAAGGCGGTGAGAGCTGGGGTGGGCAGCTGTCCCCGGCAACCAGAAGGTCCCAGGGACCCCATCCCCGGCAGGGCTGGCACCCGGGCCGAGAGCCTGCTCTCGGCCCGTGGCGTCTCGAGGGGCCGGTTCTGAGGCGGGAGCGGGAGAGAGAGGGGAGGGGCGACCGGGGGAATGTCCCCGCCTCTCTCCCCGCTTCCATAAATCACCGCAGCCGCGGCGGCCGCCGGGCCGGGAAGTGCACGGAGTCGGAGCGCAGCGTGGTGGCACCAGACACCTCCCTTTTCCCCGTCGCTGGCTTTCTTTCTTTCAGTGTGCTTTTTTCTGTTTATTTGTTTTTGTTTTTTTAAACCTCCCCTTCTCCCGCCTCGCTCGGGTGGCTGCCCCAGCATAGCAGCCCGATCGCCGCTTCTCCGCGGGTGCAGCCGCCCGCCCTCGCCGCCGCCGTCGCCGCCTCGCTCGGCCGGGACCCGCGGGAAGCGAAAGCTCGGCGGCTCCGCCTGTCAGCCCCGCGGCCACAAACCCGGTGCGGACGCCGCAGCTCTTCCAGCCGTCCGCCGCACCGCGGGGGCCGCGCCGGCGCCGGGGTCCCGCGGACGGCTGGGGCGGCCGCTTCCTCTCCCGCCGCGGCCACCGGGGCCCGGAGATGGTGGCCGCCCGCGCTCCCGCGCCGTAGCTGGGCGCCCCCTAAGTTCGGGAGCCGCCGCGGCGCTGAGAGGCGGCTGCAGAAGGGCGAGAAAGTTTTGCCGGGCGCGCGGAGCGGGCCCTGGGCGCACCTCCCGGAGCTCCCTCCCCGCTTCCCGGCGCCTGGAGCCCGTCGGCCGGGAGTGGGGGTAGGCGGCATGGCCCGCGAGCCGGAGGAAGAGGAGGCGGCCGCCCTGGCCCGCGGGGGGCGGGGCTCGCTCGGCCGGGCTGGGGCGCGGCGGCCGCCCCTCTGGCTGCTCTGCCTGGCCGCGGGCTGGCTGCTGGGCGCCGGGGCCGACGCCGACTTCTCCATCCTGGACGAGGCACAAGTGCTGGCGAGCCAGATGCGGAGGCTGGCGGCCGAGGAGCTGGGGGTCGTCACCATGCAGGTAAGGGGCTCCCCCCTCGCGCCCGCCAACTTGCCAGGCATCCCGCCTATCTCCTCTGCGCAGAGCCCGGTCCCATCCCCAGTACAGGTACCCTTAAACGAGCACCGACCTCCCTGGCATGCACAGAGCCCCCTTTGCCCCGGACACCTCCGCTCTCCCCATGGACCCCCTGACTACACACCAACTCCTCTTCCAAGCACTCGGGTCCCCTTCCCTTTCTCCTCTGCAGAAGCCCCTGCCCTTTGCACAGACCCATTTTCCCCGCCCCCCTGCACAGTTCCATTATCTCGGCAAGGATTCTCAGGTTCCCTCGCACCTCCTTTCCTAATTTGCACGCATTTCCCCGCAGTCTTTTTTACCCCTCCACCCCTGCAAACTCCCCTTCCCACTTTGTGTACCCATCCCAGGACAGCCGGTCCCGCCTGGCCCGGATGATTTTCCGAGGCCCTCAGTGTAACCCCTTGATCACCTCTTCGGGTCCCCCAGACCTAGGCGCAGCAGTGGGCGCCGGGAGGGGAGGCATCGCTGCGTGCGCAGCAGCTCCGGGGCCACCTGGGGTCCCGGCTGAGAGCGGCCGAGAGAGTGAACTCCGCGCTCCCTTTCCCCGCCCGGGTGCACTGGGGGAGGGGCTGGCCTGGTAGACTCCGGGTAGATTCCCGACTCGCCCTGTGTGGTGGACTTTTTTTGTTGTTGCTTTCCGCTGTCGCTGTTGTCGGTTGCGCGCTGTCGGCTGTTTTTGTTTTGTGTATGCCTTTTGGGGAGGAAAAAGGGAGCATAGTGAATAAGGTTCCCATTTCTCTAAATTGTTTACCAGGTCCGTCCTCCCCAGGAGAGGAAGGGGGCTAAAGAAGGATTGCCCGAGGCTAGCAAGGAATCCTGAAGATGTTACTAATAACCAATAGTAGTAAAAAATTGCTAAACAGAAACCACCTGGAGATTCTATCTCGCCGTTATTTTAACCTCCTTGGCCCACTCGATTAGGAGAGGTTGAGATGACATTCCGAGTCTGAAACCTTTGCTATAACATTCTTCCGTAAAATAACCTCATCCTCTTATGTCTTCTAACAATAATAACGGTGATGAATGTGGTCTTCGAAAGAGCGAAGTTTCCAGGAATGTGTTCTTGGAATAGGTTTCTGATTTCGATTCTACTGTGACAACCCTTCTACCTCCCACCGGGAGAGGTGTTTTAAAGTCACTTGGGACTCAGGTTTCTGATGTCCTTTTTTTTTTTTCTTTAAACCTCTCTCCCTAACCCTACGAACCCTCCCCCCACGCCCCAGTCTCCTCCCAGGATGATACAGTTTTCCTAAAGCTAGTTGCACAGACCTTTACCGCTGTAGTGAAAGACTGTAGGGTTTTTTGTTTTGTTTTAGGAGTGAGGTGAGGCTGAGGAGTGGATGGTTTGCTTGAATGGCAATGCTGCGTTTATTTGCAGGCACCAGCCCTGAAGTGCAATAGAGTCCGATTTTTCTTCATGTGCATAATAGTAGACAAGCTTTTAAGATACGTCGTTTAACTTTTCTATGCAGATCTTTTAGGTTCAGATTAAGTTATAATTTTTTCCATATGCGTTTTCTGATTTCTGAGGATTGCTGACAGAGATCTTAGGAGTGAAGTGACCTTTAGAGGAAATGAACTAAAATGTTAGGGATAAACGAGGATTTCTTTTTCCACTGATGAATGTTTCAATTCAGAGGACAAATAATTGTATTTTTGCATAGAGACCCTCTTTTAATAAAGGAAATTTAATACGTTGCAGGTTTGGACTGCGTTTGTAAGATTAGCAGGCATTTATCACCTTCATCCCATCACTAGGGCTGGACAAGGAACCTCAGGGGTTTTTTCCCCCTTCACCATATAAGCTAAGGACTAGCTTTTTCTAAGATGCTGACAGCAGTTTTACTGTTTCTCACCCGATCCTTGACAAAAGGTGAAATCGGATCCCAACACATTGTCATTCAGGTAGGGATCCAAAGCAAATGTAGTTTTAAAAGGCTTCCCTGTTGAAAAGGAGACACTTTAGAAAAAAAGCTCTGATCAGTGGGGGGTTTGTGCCCAAATGGCCCTTTATCTCCTCCCAACTGGCCTCTTTCTAACACCTTTGCAACCTCATTGTGGAAACTGGCCTCCTGGGGACAGGGTTTTGTCTGGCAAAATGTGAAGTGGCTTCTCTCCTTTTTTGAAAGGAGCAGCACATACTGTATTTAAATTCTTCTTCTTGAGCTGTACATTGATCTGCCACTTGCCTCCTGGGAAAATTGGGGAAAGGGTCTCTTTTCAATTTTGTTAGACTGTCAGCTTTCGGGGGGAGGGAACACTTGTAAAAATCTAAGGCAGGTTAGATTTTTTGCCCTTAGAACAAAGGTTTCGAGCCTCACATTTTTCTCCATAAACCTCTGGGATTTGTTCAATGTGTCTGAAATTATATGGGTTTAGCTGCCTAAAGTGCAGATAATATAGTCCTCCCTTGTGACATGTTGGATTTTATAGCTGTGGAGCTAATCTGTTGCTCAGAGGCAGGTAGCCTCATTTGGGCATTAAGGTGAGCAGGGTCATACTTCCATCTGTAGATATGAGGGGGTTGGGGAGAGATGATGTCTCTTTGCAGAATAAGAATGTCCTCTCTTGATTAAGGGATTGACGCTTCACTTGACCTTGGCATTTCCAGTACAGTGCAGACCTTTCAGGACAGCATCTTCTTTGACAAGAAACTCTCTGTAGGTCAGTTTATACATTAAAAGCCTATTTCCAGACTTCAGTTGCTGCTGCTGAAATTCTCCAAGGACCATTTTTAATTTTGAGAAATTGCAAAGTAGCCTTCCAAGGAGGCCTGTTGCCGCCTCTGTCACAGGACAGGCACAAGGAGTAATTTTACAAAAACAAAACCCAGGCCTTCTTTCAGCACTGTTGTTTCCCATGGCATAGTTTTTGTGCTTGCTGATAGAGAAGACAGTTTGAAAAGCGATCTATCTTAGAGATTTTCTTGGAAAGGTTTTCTCATGGAGGCTGCCTGCTCATGTTTTTTTTTTTTTTTGTGGTGGTGATGGTTCCTTTTTAGTAATGGACAAAATTTAAAAAACAAAACAAAAACTCTAAATGATCTGCACCAGCTAATTTTGCCAGTGCCCTGGGAAAGCTGCCACTGATTACTGCCCCCCTGGCAGCAGACCCCATACATCATGGGTAAAAGTCAAAAACCTAATCATCATCTCCTCAGGGGTCTCGTGGAGTGAAGCCATCAACGTTGAGATCTAGGGAGCAGAGAGTGGCTGTGTCCAGGGAGGCTTGCCTCTGCTTTTTCATTCATGCAACAAGTTTTAATCGAAGAGCACTGTGGAGTGGAAAGAACTCCACATTGGATATTTGGAAACCTGGGTTCCAGCTCTGCCACTTGAGAAGTTGGGTGATCTTTATCTGCAAACCTGGAAATGATGATTCTTCCTAGAGATCTGCTCTGTGGACCTAATGGCAATAGTGTGTGTGAAGGCACCTGCTGATGTGAAGTTGGGACTGGGAACTGTTGATGGATGTGGTTGTTCTTAAATGGAGAAATATTCCTTGGAAGCTGGCTGAGCACAGAGCATTATGCTAGCTGGGTGTTTGGGGGATTTACAGGGAGGTATCGCAGCACATCCCCTTACGGAGTTTGCAACGTGCAGGCAGAGGTAAGGTTGCACAGGTAAAACAGTTAAGTAACAATGCCTGCTTGTTAGAAGGCATATCGGGCTCTGGGAGCCATTTCACCAGGCACTTATAAGGCCCATTTAACATTATATGACAATACAGGCTTCCTAACAGCAAGGGCCTGGCACATGTCCAGGGTGCCCGCCTTGATGTTAGCTGTAACTCAGCTCTGCTGGGCTGGGCATAGTCACTGTGAACTTGGCAGACACACTAGCAGGTTGGTCGGACAGCTGCTGTATGGGGCTTGGAAGAGGGGTGGGTGAGGAGGGTGCTTCCAGCAGGGACAGAAGAAATACCAGAAGCACAAACTTGAGCTTGAACTCAAATTGAAGAAAGAGCAGCACAGTCATGAATTTAGAAACTGAAGGGCTCTGTAGGGGTGAGGTGTTGACTGAAAATATAGAGCAGTGTTGTAAATAGTGGCTACAGCTGAAAGTGAAAGGGGAGGCCTTCTTTGTATGCCCTAGGACAGCATTACGTAAGTTCATTTTTCATATTGGCATACATCCAACAAACTTTTGGGGGAGGCTTCTATTCTGTGAGGGGCCTTGGGTTAGGCTAAGCTGGGGATACAAGGTAAACAAGGCCTGGTCCAGGCCCTGAAGTTCTCAACTGATGATGCAGACAGATACAAAAGGAGGTGGTATGATACGGGGGTTAGGGAGAGGCAGAGAGGTGTTAGAAAGCAGTGGGCTAGTGCCATGGTAGAGAGGGGAACAGGGCATTATGGGAGTACAGAGGAGGGCTGCCGAAGCCCATCTGGTGAGGTAACGGAAGTTGGTTACTCCTCCCTTGGCCTTTTAAATGAACTGTCCACACACAGAGGCCAGTCCTGCAAGCAGAAATAGCCTCAGACATTAAGGGTAACCAAATCAGCAGTTCACCAGACATTTCTAATGCCCTTTGGTGGTACTGGACAAAGTAGCTGTTATATCTTAAGCACCTGAAGAGGGGGGTGGCTGTGACTCTTGTACCTCTGCATATGGCCACACGTCTTATCTCATTTCTTTGGCCATCACGCCCAGAGTTTCTGTGGTTATTGGACATAAACATCTTTGTGGCTCTACTATAACTGCGTGCTGATTTGCAGTTATGTTTAGGCAAGGTTGGCATTTGCCCCTTAATCATGTCCATTATACCAGGAATGGCATGTTTTAGGATGATGTGAATGTGTACTTAGGCAATCGAGAATGCTTTAGGGATGAAGTAATCACCTGTATCTGCAAATAATGTTGTTTGATTCTATGCCCCGTGCGCAGTATAAGCCCTAGTGGGAAAACTGCGGCCTTGTTTTCTTCTGAGATTGAATGTTT